CAGAAATCTGTATTTATCCCTTTAACTTTTATTTTCAGCTTAGATGCCTATTAATGTCAAAGTGGATTTCTTTTTTCAGTTTCTTGCTTAAGTCTCTTAACTGTCAGTATAAGGAAGGGAAGAAAAAAAACCTAATCCTTTCCCTTCTCTCTCTCCTTCGCAGCTTCAAAATCTTCTTTGGGAACAATGTTGTTAAGTTTAAATTCCAGGGTACCTTATTTGTTCCTTTTGCTGTTTGACCTGGTCAACCAAAACTTTCTCTTCTTATCTTCCTCCTGCACATTCTTTTCCGGTTGAGTTCTTTGTGGTGGCCATTTCTGACCACCGCTACAACCGCCTTCGGGAAAGGGAGTAATGGCCAGCTGGGGAGGAGAGATGCGGCTCTCCTCAACCCTGCAGGCAGTCTCGCCTGTCTTCACCACCTCTACGGGGTGGCTTAGCCGCAAAATCAGCCGGCTCAGGGCGCTCCAGTGGTGAGCACGGATCGAAGCCTCGGAGAGACAAGGTTTCGGTCTGTCACCGAAGAAGCTCAAACCGGAAGTCCGCATGTACATTTCTTGAGGCTTAGCTATATAACAGGATTTTGAAAATACCATAGGTTTTAAAACTACAAGTATGAATTTCACTATGTGTATTTTCATACTTTATGCCCATGGCTTGGATATGCTGTAGTCCTATTGAACTAAGTGGAACAATATCACTTTCAATCCAGTTTATATCAGTGAAATTGATTCAAAGCTAAGCTGTCCTTTTCAGTTAATAATTGGAGCGGGCTCTGAAGATCACAATCATACAACTGAGACTAGCTGATGTTAAATGGTACTAGGACCAAAATATACACCCATCTCTCATAACTGCACATCTTTTTATTCCCTGGGTTGAGATAGGGAAACAAAGCTAAACTATCTTTGTCTTTTATTAATGTTAATAAAAAGAAAAGTTTAATTTTGTCCCCGCCATATTTTCTTAAGCAACATTGGCAAATGGTGAGCATAAAGCCTTCTCTACCTTACCAACTGGATCACGAGTGTTAAACTCATGGGATCACATCATGTGATGTTTTGTGATGTTTTTGCCATTTGCAGAGCTGGGGTTGATGCATGACGCATCCGGTCCGTGGGCCATCAGTTTGACACCCCTGATCTAGATGATGTCAAGATTACAGAAGACACCCATTTTTATTCCTGGGGAAGTATGTGTTGGGAAGAACAAATTTTAATCTCATTCAAACCAACAAGATTGGTATTACCTTAATGATACAGTAAGAATAATACCTGGAATCCTTAAATCCATACTGCTCTCATTGTTCCATATTCTTTTTAATATTGCCCTCCTGATCTCATGTGACAACAACAGAACAATCCAAGAGTATATAAGATAAACATGCCATTGACTCCTAGAGATCTTCCATCATATAAAATATTAGACTCTACTTTTTACCAGGCTTAAGTCTAGGAAACCAATTTGGGATAACATATCACAGTCTTACAATCTAGATAAAGAATGATGATTAAGATGAGCAACTTTTACTAACCACAATCAGACAAATCACATAGATTCTAAAAAACCACTTCAAGGAATGCAGTTGCCCCAAAATATGGAACTACCTGAATAGAATCAGGACAAGCCATGCCAGAACTAAGGAAAAGCTATTTAAGTGGGGAATGGCCAAGAGCCCACAATATGACTCTGGTGCTCCAGAACAAACTATAATACATATAGACCAGGGGTGGGCAATTAATTTCTCTCGGGGGCCACATGGAAAATCAGATCTGCGTTCGAGGGCCGAACCAATTTTATAAAAGGCCATTATAAAGGGCCCATTATAAAATGCAGCAAATTATATATAAGAATATTATATATATATATATATTATATATTATATATACTTTATATATATATATATATATATATATATGTTTTCTGAGGTTCTCGCGGGTATTTGTATGTGGATCTTTGGTTGTTCGGGTTTTCTCCCACGTAAGATTCAAAGTGTCTAGGCAACGTTTCGATGAAGTCTCATTCATCATCATCAGGCCTCTGTCTTTGGCTCTTGCTTTTCAGAGTGATGTGAGGTTGCAGCTGCTTTTTTCTTTCTAACTGTCAGTGGGGGTGGGATTTGAATGGGTGGGGGCTTGGCTGTGTTCTGATTGGGTGGGGGTGTCTTCTCATTGGTGGGGGGCCTGGCTGTGTTTTGATTGGTTGGGGGGTTGGCCGTGTTCTGATTGGCTGGATTTCTTGCTGCCCGGCTTCTTCACTGATGGGGGAGGTTTTTATTTTGGATTTGGTAGTTTTTTCTAGGTAGGTGGTGGGGTCTGTCTTTAGGGGTTTGTATGCGGGGTCTTGGAGTAGGTTGGTTAACTTGGTTTGGTAGTCAGTTAGAAAGAAAAAAGCAGCTGCAACCTCACATCACTCTGAAAAGCAAGAGCCAAAGACAGAGGCCTGATGATGATGAATGAGACTTCATCGAAACGTTGCCTAGACACTTTGAATCTTACGCGGGAGAAAACCCGAACAACCAAAGATCCACATACAAATACCCGCGAGAACCTCAGAAAACAAATATTACACCTCTACGGGGAGGAAACCCACCATCTGATCAGGACTTATGAAAAACTTGAAGTCCAAAGAGCTTCCATTTTATGTGACCTTGCATTCCTATGCAACTGCCGAGATCAAAATCTAATTCCCACAAGCTTCCAACTGAAATTCCACACCAACACAGCAGCCACCAAACGCATCCTAAAAAGAACAGAATTGGCCCTAATCAGAAATGAACTTCACACAAAAAGGTTTCTCCTAGACCAAATCAACAAAGATCTCCTCACACTCCACCTGAAACTCAGCAACAAGATTCACCCCCTACTTTGGGACAAATCCAAACAACTTGCTGTCTGGAGAGCCGAAACACAGACCTCCCTCAAGACAAACACACACACCAACAAACTCAAGAAACTACAACAACGCCAGAAACCAACTCCTCCCCCCCCACAGCCACACATGAAACAAACAGTGCACAACATCTCAGACAAGATCCTCACTGAAGCTGAAACCAAGGTCCTTTCAAAAGGATTCAACTTTGCTGTCGCCCCCAAACACATCCCCACAGAAACCATCATATGTGGAGTTGAAACCAGCCTGACCAAAACCAACCCTGATGATGCTAACAAAATCAGACTTGAAATCACCAACATCCTCTGCACTAGCAAACCACCCAAAAGCAACTTATCCAAAGAAGAACAAACTGCACTACTTAACCTGAAAGAAGACACCAGCATAATAATCCTACCAGCAGACAAAGGCAACGCGACAGTGGTTATGAACACATCTGACTACCAAACCAAGTTAACCAACCTACTCCAAGACCCCGCATACAAACCCCTAAAGACAGACCCCACCACCTACCTAGAAAAAACTACCAAATCCAAAATAAAAACCTCCCCCATCAGTGAAGAAGCCGGGCAGCAAGAAATCCAGCCAATCAGAACACGGCCAACCCCCCAACCAATCAAAACACAGCCAGCCCCCCCACCAATGAGAAGACACCCCCACCCAATCAGAACAC